TTTTCAGGATGATACTGCATTTGAGAAGCAGAGTGCTCTTTTTGCACTTGCAGTCTCTGATGTAGTGCTCATAAACATGTAAGTTTGTTGCTCTGCATTTACAGTGATCTGGTTGGTTTTTTATTACATGAATTTTGAGGTTTTGGTTGCGGGGAAATTTTCTTCAGGTGGTGTCATGATATTGGGCGTGAGCAGGCAGCAAATAAACCCCTATTGAAAACCGTATTTCAGGTGTCTTATCAATTATCAGATTGTTCTATGCACTTAGTTTGTTGAAATGGTGACGTTCTGCTGATTTATTTGTGTATAATAAACAGGTTATGATGAGACTATTTAGTCCTCGTAAGACAACTTTGATGTTTGTTATCCGTGATAAAACAAGGGTATGGTCTCCTTGTTAACTGCCATGGTAGTTTAATAATTTATGATATCTGAGAGGTAATAACTTGAAATACATTTGTATCTTTGTAGACACCGTTGGAAAACTTGGAACCAGTTTTAAGAGAAGACATTCAGAAGGTACATCATATGAGGTTTTGCTATTATTTCTCGGATCTTATGCAGTAGGGTTCTGGTGTTCCTATTTTCATTTCCTTCTCTCAATTTGGTAGATCTGGGATTCCGTTCCTAAGCCTCAAGCTCACAAGGAAACTCCACTAAGTGAATTTTTCAATGTAAGGTGTTGATGATAAGTTGATGATATATTATTTTGTCTTTCTATGGCTTAGAAAACTTAGGGTACTTTCTGTTAAATCGTTGACTGTCAGGTTGAAGTTGTGGCTCTCCCTAGTTATGAAGAGAAGGAAGAACAATTTAAAGAACAGGTTTGTGCTCTAGTTTAGATTATACAGGGTCGCACCCTATTTCATTTCTAGCACCTATCCTCTGCAAGATATGCTTCCGTATTTATGTTTATGCGAGATACTTTTAAAGTAAGATGGAAGATTGTTTTGACAGAAGGGATCTCATATTAGATTTTTTTGGGTACAAGGTGGCAAATCTAAGACAGAGATTTTTTCATTCCATTGCCCCTGGTGGGCTTGCTGGGGACAGGCGTGGGGTAGTCCCTGCTTCAGGGTTTTCATTTAGTGCTCAACAGATATGGAAGGTCATTAAGGAGAACAAGGATCTTGACCTTCCTGCACATAAGGTATTTCTTATTTGCTTATTTCAAATGCCTATGTTAATTTCTTAACAGTTTTCTGTTACTGAAAAATTTTATGGTGTATTGGTAGGTCATGGTTGCTACTGTTCGTTGTGAAGAAATTGCAAATGAGAAATTTTCTTCATTTATTGCGAATGAGGTAGTTGTCCCATGATACGGGTTTTTGATGTGCATAGAAATTTCTGAGAAATTTTACTTTTGTTTATTTTTGGCCCATCCACATGCAGGAATGGCGTCAACTCGAAGAGATGGTACAATCTCAACCAGTGCGTGGATTTGGGCAGAAACTCACCTCCATTCTTGATGTTTGCCTATCAGAGTAAGTTACCGTCTGATCTGCTCCTCATAATTGTCTGATATCTTCCTGACAATTTTAATAATTTTGGCTGTTGAAGAATTTGAATGTGTTATGAAATAACATGTTCATATATGTTATCATTTGAACATTTTGTCGCCTCATACAAAAATCTGTGAGCCACTGTGTTTAATCTTCTGATTCCAGTTTAAGATATGGCCTCTACAGTATTGTGTTTGATTACTGTCAATTGGTAGACCTTGGACTGATTTTTCCTCTTGCTGTTGTTGGGTTGAAGTATTTGATATGGTTGCCAGATTTGTTTATAGGCAACATTTATCAGGCTGCTTACTAAGAGGAAGGACCAAAATATAATGGGGTGTATTTCAAACGCTTCATGCTTTTGGTTTTTTGTGAAATGGTGGTTAAATGATGGGACACACTTTATTAGGAGTAAATATATCTTGTCAGGTTTATGATGTTAGTTTCTGGCAAAGTTTCATCAGGTCAGATAAGTCACTCATTGAAAGAGAGAGAAGAAGAATAGGGAATATCGGGCTAGTTGATATATTTGGCATGGTTTTTTAACTTTGATGTTTATTTTGTTTCTGCCAATTTTGCTGAATGTTAGTCGACGAAGTATTTAACATACTGATTCGTTCCTTGTGGCATCTTGTTTGTCATAAAATCCTGCCATTGAGAATGAATGAACCAATTCTGCAATGCATTATAACTTTCCACTTTTCGTTCATTATTTATGGAATTCGATTTTAAGTTTCTGATTTTCAGTTGCATGTCATTTCATCTTTCCTTTGAAAGGTATGATGCAGAGGCGACATACTTTGATGAAAGTGTTAGATCTTCTAAGCGGCAACAGTTGGAGGAAAAACTTTTGCAAGTAATTCTTCTTGAGCCTTCTGATATACCTTGAACTTGCATGCACGTAATAGAGTGCATAATACCAACTTCTGTGCAGTAGAAAATGTTACAAAGTCTTATGTAATTAATGTTCGCAATATCCACTTGCTGAGGAGCAAGCATGTATGATATGAACATAGGGATTTTTGTAATTATGAGAGACAATTATCTCTCTCTCTCTCTCTGAGTTCATTAGCGTGACTTCTTGATGATAAGCTAACTCAATTTTCAGAAATTATTATTAGCCAGTCCTTGTTAGCTGCTTATACCCACAATAATCATTTGTAAATTTGCTTGTCATTATTCATTTTCCTCTCATTTTTTCACGTTTCCTTTTTGTTATGATTTTCTATTATTTTTTTAGCTTGTCCAACCAGCATACCAATTCATGTTGGGACACATACGCTCTGGAACCTTGGAAAGCTTTAAAAAAGAATTTGAAAAAGCCTTGAGTGGGGGTACAGGATTCGCTATTGCTGCACGTGACTGCACCAAGCTTTATATGACAATTTTTGATGAAACATCTGCAGGTACTGTTATTTATATATAACATCCATCTCTGTCAGCAACAGGCTGTGGATGTTTTGCATGACACAATAACACTACGGACTTTCTTTCTGAAAAAGAACTCTTGATGGAGATTTTTAATATATCGTCTTTTTATCAATAGTAACTTAAGGGCCCTTTATCCTGATTTTTGAAGTGTAAAATTTCTGTTGAAACAATTTGTTCCCTCGTGAATTGAGTTCCACCTTTTGTTTTTGCCCCTTATCATTGCCTATCCGTAGGAAATTCATCTCATGGACGTGTCAAAGTTAAATTACGAACTGTTTTAATTTTTAACTTTTTTCAGACGTGGACATTGGTCAAGCAAATTGGGACTCTTCTAAAGTGAGAGATAAGCTTAGGCGTGATATAGATGCACATATTTCTGCTGTTCGTACAGCGAAGCTGTCTGAACTTACAACAACCTATGAGGTACGGCGTAATTCCTTTTACAGGTTAAGTAGAGATCTATGATTAGATAAGTCACATTATAAATAATGTATAGGCTTTTTTAAGCTTTAATAGAAAATAAACATTGCTCTGGAAAGAACAAGAAATTAGCTTCTCCAAGGATAGGAGTACTATTTCTTATTTATTATCAAAATTTGGGGAGGTCAATTTATAGCTGTAACTATGCATCAGCATTCCCGCAAGAGGGCTATGTAGATGGGCTATACTGTTTGAGCATAATGACCCAGTAATGTGGATACCTTTTTT